GTGACATGGCCAAAAATATTGAGTTGTAAAGAATTTTGACAAACATCATTCCAACTAAATACATGTCGAAGGACTATATATCAATCACCTAAAATCCTAGTTTATAATTACAACACTTATGTTTGTGTGAAATACTATGATTAAATGATTTATAAAATATTCAATAAGATCATTATCGTTGAGTTTTATAGGGCTCTTATAAAGGATTGAAAACTGGCAAAGGTTGTTGCTTTCAATTTTTTATATATTGATATGTACCAATGCACTAGGGATGAAAAACTTAATAGTAGATACTTACCTTTTCTATTTGTGATAATATCTACAATTGTATATGAAAGAAACATGATCATCATTTTACTGGTGAGTTATATATACATATATATACACACGCACACACACATATATATATAAGGAATGTATACTATGAGAATGCTCAATCTCAAACATTAAACTAAATTAAACGGCTTATATTAAAATATTACGCATAAACATCATCACGTACTACCACTATCATAGTTGTCTCTATAGTGGTGGTGGTGGCAGCAATTGTAGTGGTGGTGGTTAATGGGTTTTTAGTTTAGTATTTTGTCTTCAAGGAGATATATTTTATCAAGAGAAGTACATATTGTTGTGCATTGAGATGCACACATCTCCATAATGGTACGATGTCCACTTTGGACCTAAATCTTCACAGATTTACTTTCGGTCATCACCCAAAAGATCTTATATCAATAGAGACTTTGTGTGCTTTATAAACCAAGCCCCACATCATTAGGTATGAAACTTGAAAGCCATTTATTTTGTTTTAAAGATTGAGATCGAGCATTTGCATTATCACATAAAAATAACATTCTTATTATATACTCTCCACAAATATAGGGAGCGTTTTAAATAAGAACACCACTTATAATGAGAAATGAAAAAACTAATATCAATATTTAGATTAAAGTAGATTGATTATATTAAAATACAACAAACAAAACTTACATGTTGTAACGTAGCAAGTTATTTCAGAAGGCCCAAAAGTCTAGTATGAGTGATTCAGTAGCCCAGAACGGGTCATTCCCAAACTAGAACGGGTCGTTCTAAACTACTGAATTGACCTGTAAAATGTAGTTGAGAACGGGGCATTCCAAACCCTAGAACAGGCCGTTCTGGTGGGAGCACGGGTCGTTCTGGTTGGAGTACGGGTCGTTCTAAATGGAGTACGGGCCGTTCTGGATGGAGAACGGGCCGTTCTGGATGAGTCCCAAAACAGGCAGTTCTGCATGTGATTTTTGTACGTGATGAAGGGGTGCAGAACGGGCCGTTCCGGATTCGGAATAGGCTATTCTGGCCACTCCTGAACTTCTAAAAATAGGGATTGTGTGGTTGAGGAAAAAGTGAAGTTTTTAGAGAGAAGGACTCTGGGTCTGTGAGCTCCTTTCTCTCCCAAATTTCTCTGTATGATTTCTTTTCTCCTCTAGATCACTAATGTCTTCTGTCTTTTCTTGAAATTCAGATTAGGAAGCTTGCTTTGGGAGGATTGAAGTTTCAGGTTGAGCTTCGGAACGAAATTCTACTTCTTCTTAGTTATTGGCTATTTTGAGCCAATCTTCAGGTGAGGGAAGGTAGAATGTTTGTTGTTTAAGTTGAATGTGAGTTTAGAAACTCAATTGATGCATGAAATTTGAGGATCCATGGCTGGATCGGAGAATTCGCTCATTTTTTGAGGTTTTGGGAAAAATGGGGTTTTTGGTGAATTTGATGTATCAGATGGGTGCATGTTGATTTTGAGTTTGTTTTGTGTTGTATGGAGCCTATGCATTGTGTTTTGTGTTTGCATATGGTTGGATTTGTTAGTTTGGATGAGAGTTTTGAACTCTCTGACTGGAATTAGGCTAGGCGCAGGTTGAGCGCGCCGGGCGTGGAAGAGCTTAGAGCTCTTGGATTAGTGTTGGGCCAAGCGTGATTTGGTTACGTCATGCGTGGAGACTCTTAGGAGTCTCTGTCTCATGGACACGGAGCGTGAGTTGAATGCGCTGGGCGTGGATGAGTTTTAGGACTCTCAGGTTGGGATTAGGCTGGGCGAGCTCAGGCTGCGCCGGGCGTGAATATGATTATGAATGAAATGATACTAATGCATGTTCAGTTGATGTTTTGGATCATTTATGTATGATATATGATATATGGTGAGGTGTGATTCATATGTATGCATAGTGATGATATATATGAATGTTTAAATATGATATGGCATGAGTATATGTTCATATGTGATGTCTTATGACATGTGTATGATTGTTGATCATAATGGTGGGTAGACCATGTATGATGTATGATGCATTATTGCATGTGATGTCTTATGACATGTGTATGATTGTTGATCATGATGGTGGGCAGACCATGTATGATGTGTGATGCATAATTGCATGTGATGAATTATGGCATGAGTCTAGCCTAGGACTTGAGGAGAGGAAAAATATTTTCGAACTGGAAGAGCTCACATAGAGTCTCTTGAGAGTGGTGATTGGATAGGCCACTAATATATGAGAGTGGTGCTCAGGTAGGCCACTGGATTTGGGAGTGGTGCTCAGGTAGGCCACTGGGTTGGGTGAGTCTCCTCTAAGTCCTTAGCTAGTGTTGGAGCGTGGTATGAGGTCGAGGGTTATTCCCTTAACCAAGTACTCGGGAAGGTGCGTGGATCCTTGCGGATAGTCGGTGGGCGAACTCCACAATTGACTTGGTTATGCATGCCAAGGTCGTGGTAAGCCCGTACCCAGCTGTGCTATACCTGACGGTGGATCTGGACTTCCAATTGTGTAAGTGACATCATCCGAGTAAACCCGAGTGAGGATTATATCTTGTTTAGTTGTGACTGAGCGGGCGCATTGGGCGTGAAAACGGTTGGGGTGGTTTCGGTAGGATGGAATGTCACTTATACAACTCTATTGTTAGGGAGATCTCCTAGGTGTATGCGTGACGACGCATTAGATGATTGATATGCATTGATATCTATCATGAGATGCATTTATTGCATGATTATTAATATGATGAAGTGTGGTGTTTGACTTCATGATTGGTGGTTTGTATTTTATGCATGAGTAGTATTGGATAGAGTGTATGGTGTGACTCTATGAATATGATTGACAGTTGGATGATTGTGTAGTATAGATTATTTTTCTATACTTGTATGATTGAATTTTGAACTCTAGTTTACCCTTCTGTTTCCATGTGGATGGACTGCGATGATCATACCTTGTATGGGAGCAGGTCAGGGATAGCTTGGAGTTGAGGTGACCGCTGCGAGACAGGGAGTTTGATCCTCGTGTTAGAGTTTGGTAACGGTTTTGTCTGTGCTTGACCGGCACTAGGGAATATTATTTTTGGGATGACTGTACATATATGGCGTTTTATTTTGTAATTAAGAAACTTAATTATTTTTATTCTTATCTATATCTGTATGTATGAGTTATCCAACTGAATATTTCTCTTAGTTCACTAGTAGTAGTGTGATTCTACTAAGTGTAGAGACCATGGCGGGTTGTTACACATGTAATGTCATCATTGTGATTGCTTCCATCACTACCATTATTGTCATCACTATCACCATTATTGCAATTGCACCATTACTATTACCATCACAACCATCATTGCACCACTACCACCATTGTTATTGTATCGCCACAGCTGCATTATCATTGTCACACCACTATTGTTGTTGCACCACCATTATTGCCACTACTGTCAACAATAGTGACATCAACAATGATGGTGGTTATCATTATGGTGATGGTGGTGGTAATAGAGACAATAATGGTTGTGGGGTAGTAGTGATGGTAATGACGACAACAATGTTGTGGTGGTGATGGTGCAACAATAATAATAGTAACGACAATGATGATAATAATGATAATAATTATGATGACAATGATGATAGTAGAGATGATGACAATGGTTGTGGGTGGCAATTATGATAGTGGAAGTGATGGAAATGCTATTGAGTGGCAATGATGATAATGGAGGTGGCGACGATGGTAATTGGTGGCGATGATGGTAACAATGATAGTGATAGTAGCATTATTCTCAACACCACCACTCATTGCTACTATCACCGTTTCGTCACCATTGGTGATGATGACAACAATGATGGTGACAATAGCAACAATAACAATGATAATAACGACGATGACAACAATAGTGGGTGGTAGTTATAAAAGTAAAATAATAATGATTTAATAGGAAATGTATTTATAATTAAGTTTTAATCTCAACCATTAATTATTTTTTTCTATAATCTAAAGATAATTATTTAGTTCTTTCATCTCTCTTAGTAAAACATGATCATATTGGATATGTAAAAAAAAGTCATATTATTAAAACAAAGTCTCGCTACATTTATTGATTATCTCTAACAAAAAATTTGGTTGAACCTTTAATGAGATGTCTCCTCCCAGTAATATTTTTTTCATCCATAAAATTAAATTCCAAAATTGAATATTCAAATCTAGATTCCCTTAGATCAACAATGCATTGGTATAACTCATCAAATTGTAAAAGTCTCTTGTGCTTTATTTTAATTTTTAAAAGCATCTTCATTCAAATTAGTCTAGACCGCCCATTATTTTAATATTATATCTATTTTTTATCCATCATAATCAAATTTAGTTTGAGGAGTTTACAATAAATTATTAGAACTTAATATATTATATCCATGTTTATATGTTTATAAAATTATTACATCATTGGACATCATAACACAATATTTCATTGTGCAAGTTAAGTGTACTCCTTTTTTGTACATAATTAGTTAAGTCAACACCTACTAAACATAGTAATAGCAAAAGCAGTGTCCATAGATCAATGCACTTGGAAGTAGTTACAAGCGTTGATCTTGGAGACGAACACCCCAACGTTGTCCACTTGTACTTAGAGGGAAAAATCAAACATTTCTCCGAGACAAATGTAGAAACAATGACTATGAGCCACAACATGATCTAATGTTTATGCCAAGTTAGTTAAAACTATGTCACATTTATGGTTGCACTTTCATCTAATCATCGAAGCCACACTTGTAACATTTAAACCAAACCAAATTATTGTGTTCCATTTCTCCTTTGTATTCTTCATCCACCTTCACTATTCTTTCTTCTTTTTGTGTCTTTAAGAATCTTCACACACACACCACCCTTTTCAATCGCAACGCCTTTTAACTTATATTTTCATCAACCCACTTCGCCATTCTTGTTATTATTTGCAAATCACGAACCCCTTTGGGCAGAGAAGAAGGAAAGTTTGGATCTTGGTTCGTGGGGTTGGTTTTGAAATGGCCTCTTTCTCCGTCCCATGCCCCAAGTGCCCTTCTTCTTTCCCTTTGGGGTTGAAATCCCAAAAGGCCTCATTTCAAAGTGGGTTGCGCTTGAAGCCTTCTATATCATTTGGATCTTTGTCCGTTGAATCTGTTGCATCTAGGATTCAAGTAAGAGTTTTGATGAGAGATAGAGAGAGAGATTTTTTTTTGTGAATTCCTGTTCATTGTGATTCAATTTTTGAGCATCTAGTGTTTTAGTGTGTGCTTGAGTGAGTGTTGTAAATTTGTTTTTGAATGAAATTGATCTTAAAGTGATGTGATTTATGTATAGATTTTTTTTATTTTAAAAGTAATAAAAACTTTGTATAAAATTTTTGAATTAACACAAAAGTTATAGCTTCAACAAAAATCAATTATGGAATCATAACTAATTCCTTAAGATAGAGCCAGATATAGGAATTTTTTTCTTAAAATCACGTCATCTGATATTTAAAATCATCTAAAATCACGTCAGTTTTCATTGAGCCTTTTCACTTCATTTTTCTATGGGGAAGGGGTGCAAAGTTTTATTGTGAATGAAAATTTTATCTTGATGTTAAAATGTGTTAATTATTAGATTTAGAAATTTTTACCATAAGTTACCCTATTTTGTACATTGTAGGCTGCTAATGTTGAAAATTCTAATTCTGCCTCAATAGTGGTCAATGGCCCTAAGGTTGCTTCATCAAAAGAAAAACAAGACCAGAATGGAAAAGTATCTGGTGGCACCAGCGCAAATGAATCTTCAATTACTACATTCATGTCTCAAGTTTCAGACCTTGTAAAGTAAGATTAAGCATCTTCACTTTGCATGCAATCACTTGTTCTTTTCTAATGATCATGTCTATGTTAGGACATCCTAGTTCCCATAGTTTTTATTTTATATCATTTCCATGCCAGACTTGTGGATTCAAGAGATATTGTGGAACTTCAACTTAAGCAATCAAACTGTGAGCTCATGATAAGAAAAAAAGAAGCATTGTTGCCTCCACCGGTTGTAGCCCCAGCATCATCACCTATGCAATATGCCACATTTCCTTCTCCACCAATGCCTCCACTAGCAACTGCTTCTGCCCCTACTAGCTCTCTGACTCCAAAAGCAGCACCGAGCTTACCTACCCCCAAAAAAGCAAGCACATTTTCTCACCCACCGATAAAAAGTCCAATGGCAGGAACGTTCTACAAAAGTCCAGCACCTGGTGAACCTCCATTTGTCAAGGTATGTAAACATATACATGGTTATAGTTTATGGGTATATTCGGATAAACTTCTCCTAAAGCATTTCTAGGAGAAAAAAAATATAAAGAAAAATTGAAATAAACTTCTTTATAAGCTAAAACTAATTTTTGCATAAGCTGAGAAATTTTTTTTTGGAGAAACTAACATGAGAAATCTTCTATAAATTAATTTATGCATGAGCTAACTTTAGTTCATGGAGAAACTTATTTCATTTTTTTTCTTCTATAAATGTTTTTGGGGTGGTTTACCTAAATAGATCCAAAATAACGCAATTTTTTTTCTTTCTATTAAGGTGTCAATTGGAAAATGATAACTTATGAAACTAATTATTGCCATGTTTACTAAATAAATTAATGAATAGCCTAATTATTTTGATATTGCTTCAGGTGGGAGATAAAGTGAAGAAAGGACAGGTTGTTTGCATTATTGAGGCTATGAAACTGATGAATGAAATTGAGGTATGCATATTTTTTGTTCCTGTTTGTTCTTGTACATTATTACATTTATTTTTCTCCTTTTACTATCTTGTTTAGGAGATTTGTCCCATTGTATAGTATAGATTATCGTCCCATATAGTAGTACATAGAAGTTTGTAATACAAGGATTTGAGCAGTTAATAAATCTAAAAGCATAGACCTGTTAAAGTTGTGTTTAAAACCTGTTTTTGTTTCATTATTGTTATCTGTTTCAACTACATTAACACTCTAATTAAAAAGTTTATGTTGGGAGTGGTATGAAGGGGTTAGGAAATAAGTAAACTATGTGGTAGTGAATAATATGGGATAACATTTGTCGGGGGTGGGGGGAGGGGGATTAAGTTGGTATTAGGAAATGAATAAAATGAAGAGTCATTCAGAGTGAGTTATGTGAAATATTTTCCCAACATATGTGAGGAAAAAGGACCCTCTTAGAGCCAGTTGGACTCAATTTTTGCTATTATAATATAAAGATGGAAATATGTTCTTAGTCTTTGTTTTATTTTTAAAAAAAATTCACTTTTAGTCTCTGAACAAATTGTTTACTAGTTTAGTTTCTAAATTTTTGTTGATTTCACCTTTAATTCCTGAACTTCTCCTCCTGTTAACATTTTTGGTCCCTAATGTTTAAGATTTTTTATTCATGAAAGAAAATCTTAGGAATTAAAACCAAATAAAATTTGTCTAAAGACTAAAAGTGAAAGTTGACCAAAGTTTATAAACTAAAAATATATTTAATCTTATAAAAACTCTCCTTCTACACCAGATTCTATTAACCAAAAACAAAATCCTCTAATTTCTTGGTTACCTTTCATTACATGGTGGCAGGCTGATCAGTCAGGAACAGTAGCTGAGATACTAGCTGAGGATGGGAAACCAGTTAGTGTAGACACGGTAATCTTACTCTCCCTTTGTCTATGTGCGTGTGTGCATGTGATGTGCGTGTTTGTCCAAAAACTACATGCTTCATTTCTCTAATTGATATACTTGTGCTTCATGCAGCCTCTTTTTGTAATAGCTCCATGAGTACCAAAAGGGACCTTACTTGGAAGTTGATGGGAAATCTCCCTAGTTGGACAACATGATTTTATATTTTTTGTTGTTAAGAAACCTTTGCCTTTTTAAGCCCTTACCCTTCCTCTTATATTATTAAGATAATGTAGGCATAAAAGCCCCAACATATCAAAATGAATATCAAACATTGTAATTTATGTAGTTTTGATATTTGCAATATTTATGTTTTTGCATTTATTTTCTGATGGTGCCTTGTTTCTTGTATGAACTTGTTGTCTAGATGTAACATTATTATAGTAATTTGTTATATATCTTTATGATTCAAAATAGTATTGAATCTTTCCTCTAATGAAAATTAGGCCACTTTTATGTATTATGGCATCCCAGCTTTTGAAGTAAAATCCCTAGCCACCATTGTGTTTTAGATCAATTCATGAAAGTACACAAACACTTTATGAGATTTCATGAAATTACATTGACATTCTTCACTTTTTTAACATTTACAATAACCTCTCTTACAAGAGGTCACAAGTAAAAAATTTCAAATAATTAAAGAAAATTAATGTAATATCTAAGTGGCGTTAGTTTTATCTTTTTCAAACAACTAAGACATGTTATTGTAGGGTAAAAAAAGTAAGGATTGTTTGTACAATTTTATGAAATCTCAAGGTGTCAGTTTAATTTACTCAAAGTAGTATTTATAATTTGTTATCAGCGTGATAGGCACAATCATACATATATGGGAATTTGAGTTTGAGCTTGTTGAATTAAACCAAAACTCCCAAATCACGTTGGTGATATTGATGTCTAGTTTAAATTGTTACATCTTAGTAAGATGAATTTGTTCAAATATAATTGAACTGATATTACTTGTGCTTCATGTAATCAGCATTAATCGGTGAGATATGAGTTTTGTTTTAATTAAACTGGTATTACTAAACTCAAGAGACTGTTTAAACTCTTCGTATGTCCCCTCCTTCCTCCATAGATATGTTCAGTAAATTGCTGCTATTTGTTTGCATGCTCTCATTGACAACTGTGGGAAAAACATCAAAATGGAAAGCATAATCCACAGACAGATGCATTTAACACATGGAGTCTCCAATTTATCATGAAAACATTGTTGATATTCATTGTACCAGTGAACCTTTTCTCCATTAATCATTTTTTTTCTCTAAAAGTTGGTTTGTGATTTTAGTTCCTCAAATTTAAAATTAATCTTTTTAGTTTTTATTATTTCAAAAAAAAATGATTTTAGTCTTTATACTCAAATTTTGTTAAAGGATCTATAAAATATTATTGCATAAAATCTATCTACTAGTATCTTTATTAGTGAAAATATTATATTAAACTCGGTTGATGATGTATAATTGTTTCAATCAATCACTTTCAAATATATTATTGGTAAACTAAAGGACTAAAATAATATTTTTGAAAATTATAGGACTAGAAACTATTGTTTTAAATTTGAGAGATCAAAAATAAATTTATCCTAAATTTAAAAAATTAAAAATTTATTTAAATCCTAAAAGTCTTTTATTTTGTATTTTGAAAAAAATATAGATATTTTTCAAATTTTGGTTTATTTGCAATATAACAATCTTCTACCTATTTATTTATAAATAAAAAATCTACCCTTTTATAGATTTTGATCCTCCCTTTCCCACTTATTTTTATTTAAGTCCTAATACCAATGAACATTGTGAGCCAAGAGTAGTATTAAAATGAAACTTCTATCATTGTTGGGCTATATGGAGCAAGAATGTGATAAGGATGCACGAGTTGAGTTTGGTTTGGGAAAAATTTTGATTCGAATCCAACCAATTGAGATTGGATTGTTTTAGATTGCATAATTGGATTTTATATATATATATATATATATATATATATATATATATATTTATATTAATTAGTATTTTAATGTGTATAGACAACAAATTTTATAATAAACTAGCAAAAAAGGTATCATAGTGGGTGTAGATGTTATAAAACTGTAGAGAAGTTGTAGTTTATTAAAAAGAACTATATAAATAAAATTACTAAATTATCTTATACTAAAAGAAGAAGGTGTTCAATTATCAAAATAAATAGAGAATAAAAATATCTTTAAAAATATATTCACAAAAATATTATATCCTCTTTATATATTGTTATAGATTATATATATATATATAGTATATTTAAATATATAAATTAACTTAAAAATTTATATAAATAAATATTTTTAAATATATAAATTATAATTTTTTTTTATAGTAACACATAAATTATATTTTAGATTTATGATAAATAATTTACTTTGTAGCATAATTTTTTTATTTATGAATAATTTATTTTAAAAATATTAAAATTTAATTCATAAATAATTATGATAAATAAAAATCAAATAAGATAAGATGTTAAAAAAAATTCTAAAAAGTCTCTCATCAAAGAAAAATTGACTCTCGTACAAGATAGAGGTTTATGTTTAATATATAAAGATTGATATATAAAAGTAATACTACAACTCTTAACCACTTTTTTATCTCCATTTTGGTAAGATCATTTTACTCTCAAATACATATAAATATATTAATTATCTTTATTTTACTCCACTCCTTTTGACACTCTTTTCTCTCACTTTTATAACTTGTTCACTTATATGGTTATCTCTACACCCCCTTAATACTCACACAAAAATCACTCACACTCTATTATTTTTTTAATTTATTTCTTTTTTTAAAAAAAATTAGAGACACTTCCCCTAATTTTTATAAAATTATAAAAGAATAAATTTAGAAATTGCATACATATTTTTTTATATCTTTTGGATTTTACATTCAATTTAAATACAAGAATAAGACCAAAAAGTAGAAGAAAATTTTGATTTCGATTGGACCAGAAGATTTGATTGGTCCAACATATGCACACTTGATAACCAATTAGATTAGATCGAGTTTAATAATTCAATTCAATGTAACCTATTGAACTGATTTAAACCAAAAAAATAAAAATTAGATTGGGTTAAATTCATTGAGTTGCATAGTTCAATCTGATCTATCTAGAAGAATTTTTTTTATTTTTGGAAAACAAATCATGTCTCTTAATTTTAAAATTCTATTAAGGAAATGAAATGAGAAAATATGATCTATTGTTTTTATCATTTCAACAAATATTGAAAATAGAAAAATAATAATTCAATTTTTATAACTTTTGATTAAAAAAATATATTGACTAAATTAAAAAATATATATATATTTAAATTAGAGTAACAATTTCTTCTCTCGATAAATACTTAAATTACATTATACCATCATAAAAATTTACACTTTCACCCATATGTAATTAAGGATAGCAATAGGGTGGGCCAGATAGTAGCCACCAATCCTACTAGAGAAAAGTTCTTTTTATACTCACCTTATATATGTAGGAGTATCTATAAAATGGATATTGATGGAATCACACTAAGGCCAAGAAGACCAAGAGGTGATATATTGAAGGAGGTAAGAGGAATGGGTTAGTTTTGAAAATCATAAGAGGAGTGAGACTAGCCTAGACATGTTTTTTGGTGGCATTGAATTTATTTTTGGACTTGGCAAGGCTTAGACCCAAGTGGAGGGCACCTAGGTTGCATGGTCAATCTTGAAGAAATTGATCCAAGGAAGGTTTTCTTCACATTGGTCATCATCTCTCCACCAATGCTACTAAGGATGCCATCATCCTCAAATTTTATTAATACTCATGAATATTTATGGATACCTATACATATTGTGAATTATTTTTTAGAAAATTTTACTAATGACATTAAAATAATCTTGGCTTTGTGTTCTTCCTAATTTTTTTAGAAGTGTTTTTTATTTGATATTATTTTACCACTTCAAAAAAATCATAAATATAGAAACAATTGATAATTTATTCAAAATATAACAAATTATCAATTGATCAACACAAGCAAAGTCAACAAAATATGAAGTTCCTACTTAACTTAATACAATAAACACTAACAAATTGTATTACATTACAGGTAGTCACAAGCAAGAATAGCATTATATTCAAGGACGGAGCCAAGGGGGGACCTACGGGTGCCACGGTCCCCCCAACAATTTTAATTTTTTTTTATATACATATATATTACTATATGGCACCCCCTATTTTTAATATAAACTCATATGTATAATTAAATGAATAACCCAACTTTATTATAAATTATATATTATTTATTCTCGGCCCCCCAGTATTGAAATCCTGGCTCCGTCTCTGATTATATTCATCCATGTCCCATTTACAAGTGGGTATAAAAAAAATCATTTTTGTTACATGTGGATATCCGTTAAATTACTTATTATCTATGATGTTTTATCCATGAATATACACATATTGCAAATAAATAAATAAAATCATCTCTATATGTAACATAATTGACGTGTCACACTTTAATTGATTCCAATCTAAGTATTTTAAGAATAATATTTTTAGTATGATTCTCAACAGTTACTTTTTAATACTTGTTATTAATTTTTAAGTTAAAATAATAATTTTGAATAAAGTTTTAAATGAAAAATAAAGATATTTAAATCTTGTTTCACCTTCATAAGTTATAAAATCAATAATAAAGTATTGTAATTAGATAAATATTAGCAACACACTTTTTAACATTTTTCTTAACCCATTATCTATTATTAGTTAAAATTTATTAAAAACTAAAAAAAAATTATGAGTCGCACTTATTAGATTTTTTAGAATCTAGAAAATTTATAATTCTTAATAAATTTAAACTAATTAGAAAGAGTACATTCAAAAAAAATACGTTGGAAATTGTGCGACTAACAATTTTCTTTAAATATATATATAAATAAAGAACTTTTACAGTTATTATACTAAGAACTATTTGTTTATATTTAAATGAATTAAAGTGAATTATATTTGAAAGAGTCAAAATTTTAAAATTAAAAAAGAAATAATGAATTGAAATATCTCTATTTAACCAAACATATATTATGCTCTTAATCTTGTTTCATGTGTTTTCAAACAAAATAATCTCATGTTAGCTTTTATAATGAGTTATTTATAAAAATCTTAAATGTAGTAATTAGTATTGTCCAAATTTATTATCACAATGATTGACACGACCATTACTAATTCACACAAGTGGTAATAATTTATATTTCTTAATTAAAGTGTTCGAATCCTAATTTTAAGTAAAAAAAAATAAGTTATATTAGTATGGAATATTCATTTCATGTGTGCTTATAGGAATATTTTTCGTGCTAACAAATTTATTTTGACCATAAATACTCAGTACCAATGTTAAAAAAAAAAAAATAATTCACACGACAGTTTTATATAAGCTTAGTTATATAATAAAATTCATAAAAAATCTTAAAAACTGAGACAATAATAAGACTCTTTTGTTTAGAATTATACAAAAACCTTAAAGTTTACAATTTAATAATTAAGTAGGCTCATGATTCTTTGTAACTCATGACATTGAAAATATGAAGAATCTTTAGTCAACGTATCTGAATTTTTTGGCCTACGGTAGAAAGAAAGACTTTAGAGAACGACCGCACCCATATGATCGCTTGATAGTTGATTGATATTGATATTGTCCTTCTCCGCAATCGAAGAAACGATTTTCCACTTGTGTCAAATCGGTACAAAAATATAGTTGCAATCATTATATTTTTTGTAATTACATCACTCATCTTTTATAATGCAAGGATTGAGTTGTTCGTTGAAATTGTTTCTATTAACGGGTTTAAAGAGACTGTTTGGTTCAAAAAAAAGGCCTTTCCTTTTTACTATTTTCTACTACTTCTACTTCCTATACAATTTTTTTAAAAAAGATGCAAACAATTTTCTGGAACCAAACTAACCCAAAATATCAATTTAAGATTTTATAGCCCAGCCCCTACGATGTCTTGTATCTAGTTGATGATTTCCAGTAATAGTTAAATACTTGGACCTTGGCCATGTCAATGGGAGAATGATCAACATAAATTATCAGTTTATTATTTCAGTCAGCCAACTCAATTCATAGCAAACCAAGCTTTGTTATATAAACAAGCAAATACTGTGGTATGGGGGTAAAAACCAATCAAATTTGCTATTTAGATAGCTAAATTTTTCATCAACAAAAAAATGCAGCCACTATATTATTTAGACAGCTAAACCATATTACAGAAGGAAACAGACAAAAATCATTGTCATCTAAGAAAGGCAAGGAGTATTCCATGCCCTTGCTTCCCTACATTCTGTTTCCTTAACCCCTATTCTGTTGGCTCTCATCCTATACTGTATTTTTTTTCTTCTTCCTATTTAATGTACAAGTTAGCCTATCTATCATGTACTTACATCAATCAATATCAATATTGCCTAGAGCTTCTAAGGCTACTCCTGCGGCCACTAAAATTTATATTGCGTGTCGCACTTCCACCAGTCCAATCATCATCATCCTCATCCTCGTCGTACCCACCTGCCACACGTGCACCTGCCACGTGTGCAGATTTCCGAACTTGAACTTTTCTTGGTGTAGTTGTAGGTCGCTTTCGTTTTATATTTGCAGTGTAAAGCCTATAATCCATAGTGTCTTCCCTCAAAGCATGTTTAAATTCCTGGTGCAAAAATGAGAAAGGAACCCTCAATCGTATCAGGTGCAGCGAAGTGTATGAAAGAGAAATACATATTCACTCAAGCTACAGTACCTGATATCTTTGAACCAATTCTTGCGGATTCGTAGGCAAACTGAACTGAGATTCATCAATATTTAAAGCAATATTCTGCCTGGAGATAACTTCTCCAGGTTTTGGTTGTTCATTAGGAGAATAAGCCTGAACAAGTGGGAGCATATCCAAAATAGAGAACTGTTAGTTTTCCTATCGCATAAATTCCTAGTCAAGGATATACACAATATTTTACTGTTGAGTAAATGATGATAAAGATGCATTATATATAATTATACCTGACAACGGGCATCGTCAAGACTGTACATGATTTTCAGGTGTCTTTTAAGCTTCAAAAGAAGCTGCAATGCAATTGCTGATAAACAATCGGCCTGCACAAGCATAGGTAAACAAAATGGATCATTTGCATATGAATACAACATCAACTAATCCAAATGTGTATATTCTACTAATGTTCAAGCAGTATTACGAAAATATTATATATTTGATATTCTTACATTGAGCAGGACATTCCATTATAAAACTTTAAACATTCTTTGTCAAAAAAAAAAAAAAAAAAAAA